GCAATAAAATCTAGGTTATGACAACAAAGAGAATTTACCGAAAACGGTTTTAAATGTATCAATTAAAAATTAAAAAGCAATGACAATAATTTGTTAGCTTTGAATGCAGGTGATGTATAATTTCGTATAAGCCTGGAGAGAAATTGCCACAATTAAATTAAAAAAGTTCAAACGTTTAGTTACAACTTTTTATCCAAACACGAAACTGAGACATTTTTAACCTTAATGATTTAAAAACAATTTTTCTTAGAATTTTTGAAATTAAAATTTTCATGTAAAATTTTTCTATGAAAAGTTTTTTTTTAAACTTATCTATGGCAATTTTAATTTTTTTCTATGAAGTTTTTTATCAAAAATGTATCTGCAAAATTTTAATAAAAAATTTGTTCATCAAAAAAAAAATTCTATGAAAACTTTTCTTCAAAATTGTTTATAAAAATGTTCATCAAAAATTGTTTATTAATATTTTCTTCAAACATTTTTCTATAAAAATTTTCATCAAACATTTTTCTATAACAATTTTTCTACGAAAATTTTCATCAACAATTTTTCTATGAAATTATTCATCAACAAGTTTTCTAAGAAATTCTTCATCAAACATTTTTTTATGAAAATGTTCATCAACACTTTTTTATAAAAATATTCATCAAAAATTTTTTATTAATATTTTCATTCAAAACTTTTTATACAAATTTTCACCAAACATTTTTCTTCAAGAAGTTTTCGATGAACATTTTCATCAACAATTTTTTCATCAAATTTCCTATGAAAATATTCATCCAAAACGTTTCTATAGAAATTTTCATCAAACATTTTTCTATAAAAATTTTCTTTAACAATTTTTCTATAAAAATTTCCATCAATCATTTTCTATGAAATTATTCATCAAATCTAATATTTCATCAAGTATATTATAATGAAACTTTTTTCATAAAATTTGTAGTAAAAAGTTTTCCTATAAAAATATTCATCAACATTTTTTATCATCAAAAATGACATTGAACCTATTTCTATGAAAAATATTCAAAAATATTTTAATGAAAATTTTTTCATAAAAGTTTTCATCAAAAATTTTTCAATTTATACAAATTTTCATCCACAATTTTTTTACAAACATTTTCTTCAACGATTTTTCTATGAAATTATTCATCAAACATTTTTTTTCATAAAATCTAAGAAATATTTTATCAACAATATTTTAATGAAAGCATTTTCATAAAAATTTTAATCAAAAATGTTTCTATGAAAATATTTTTTCTAAAAATTTTCTTCAACAATTTTTCTATGAAAATTTTGATCAACAATTTTTCTATGAAATTATTAATCAAAAATTTTTTATAAAATCTAAAAAATATTTCATCACCAAAATTTTAATGAAAGCTTTTTCATAAAAGTTTTAATCAAAATATTTTCTATGGAAATATGCATCAAAACTATGAAAATTTTCATTAAACCTATTTATATAAAAAAATTTCTCAAATATTTTAATGAAAATTTTTAGATTAAAGTTTTCATCAAAAACTTGTCTATGAAAATATCAATCAAATATTTTTCTATGAAAATATTCATCAAAACTATTAAAATTTTCATCAATAATGACATCAATTTCTATAAAAAAATTGCTTCAAAAATATTTTAATGAAATTTTTTTCATAAAAGTTTTCATCAAAAACTTTTCTATGAAAATATTAATCAAATATTTTTCTATTAACACTTTCAACAAACATTTTTCTATTAAAACTTTTAATGTTTGTAAGAAAATTTTCAATAAACATTTTCAGCAAATTTTTATAATTTTCATATTCTATTAAAATTTCATTAAATATTTTTCTATAGGAAATTGTCTTCAAAATTTGGCCCACATTTTATTCATATTAAAATTTCGAATGGCCTAGATTTTCCTGCTGCACTGTGTAATTGCTTATTGATAATTTTCAATTTGAGTTTACTAAGGAAAATAAAAAAACTAACCAAAAAATACGTTAAATTTAAAAAAAAAAAATATTTTTTTTATAAAAAAACAAGTTTTTTTTTATAGATATTTCAGTTTAATTTATAATGACGTTGTATAAAATAAAATTTATTTGTGTATAAGTAAGTGTAAGAGTGTATTAGATGTCAGTGTAAAGAATAAATGTCTATATGAATATTGGAAACAATATTATAAACACCTGCATGATTTTAAAATCAAATCACAATATAATAAAGCAACAACTACTACTTGTGCTGCTGCTGCTGCAGCTACGACACCAACAAAATTTTAACGTAAGACAACACCAACTACAACCTGAACAAAAAGCCAAATACATTGATAACCCCTATATATCTACAACAACAGCTATCAAACATAAATAAACATAAAACTGAAAAGAAAAAAACTGACAAGACAGCAATGAGACAGACAGACAGACGATTGAATGGACAGACAGACATTTGTGTATAGAAAAATTGGAGCCAAAACAAAAAATAAAAAAAAAAATTATTGATAATATTCATAAAATTTATTTTCTAAACAAAAAAGTGAAAAAACGTACAACAAAAAAACAAATGTAAAAAAATTTAAGTGTTTCATCAGCACTTTGAAAAGAGGGTCTTCTTTACTGACTTGCCTTTAGGTAATCGAAAATCGAAACCCAAAAAAACAGCCCTTAGTTAATAACCAGCAACAAATTGTATGTTTTCTTTTTTTTCATTTTGAAAACGTCATTTTGTTTAATTCTTTGCTTCTTCTTCTACAATTTTGATATCTTAGGCTTTTATTTCTAAGAAATTTAAAACTTTTGCTATGTAGTTTCTTAAGAAACATGTAAAAAGGGAAACATTTAAACGGTTGCCATTATAAATCTTATTGATGAAGATGATGTCTACAACAGATTCAACCCTCCTTCCTATAAAATTATAAAAAAAGATACTAAAACTGAGAAAAAACAAGTGGCAGGTATACAAATGTTTAATTTTAGTGCGAAAAGGTTGGGTTTTGAAAACGAAAAATATTATAATCAATTTTTATAGTTTTTATAACAAAAAAAAAACTAAAGAAATCTAAATTAGTTTTCAAGACAATTATTATAATAATGTGGTCTTCTAATTTAAGGTTGTTTAACATAAAGAAAATATATTAATTTATTTGTTGCGTATGGAAAATGACTAGTAAAAACAGTGGAACCTCATTAAACAAAACTTTTATAATAATAATCTTTGAAAAGAACAGCTTAACATTATAAACAATATTTCCTTACTAAAAGTTAAAAGTATTTTCCAAAATGTAAGTGTGTTGCTTTATAGAGGTTCTACTGTCTCACTTAAACATTCATCTATTGCCTCAATTTATTTAAGTTTAACTTAAAACCACAGTTAATGTACATTTTTATAGTTGGTTAAAAGGTTTTCTTCTGCGCCGTATTTTTTTTAGTTTCTAATTATGGAACAAAGAGATTGAAAAAACTTTTCTTTTTTTTATTATTGACAACCATTTTTTTTTAATAATTAAAACGCAGTTTTTATCAATTTTCTTTCTTGACTCAGTGCTAGTGTACTGAAATATATATAAAAATAGTTCAATATCAATGTCAGCCAATGCGGTTTGAAATTTATATTAAATATTGCTGCAGCTTAATAACAAATTAAGGACATTTAATGACAAATTCTATAACAAATAAAATTGAAATAAATATTTTAACAATTTTATCCTCAAGTTCTTCCAATTTTAGTCTCAAATGTTAAACTTTCTGCACTTCCGTTTTAGTTTTAATCTTAAGTTTTTATTTCCGCTATTTTTCCATAGTCTTACGAGAAGATCTTATTTATTCTGCGTCTACTTGTGTTATCAACCTTTAGCCACTGTTTTTATTTATAAAATCCAGTTATAATAACCACAACTATAAGTATTAATACTTTTTCATTTCAACCGCATAAAGTGGAATTTATAGACTCCAATCAATCTTCATTAGCTTACGTCTAAATATTTTTGAAAATTTTTATAAAAACATTTTTTATAAAAAAATGTTTGATGAAAATTTTCATAGAAAAAATTTTTGATGAAAATTTTCATAGAAAAATTTTTGATGAAAATTTTAATAGAAAAATTTTTGATGAAAATTTTCATAGAAAAATGTTTGATGAAAATTTTCATAGAAAATATTTTGATGAAAATTTTAATTTTTATCAAACATTATCAAACATTTGATAAAAAATTTTCATAGAAAAATTTTGAGGAAATTTTCATAGATAAATATTTAAAAGAATTTTTCATAGAAAAAGTTTTTATTAAAATTTTATAAAAATTATTTAAAGAAAAAGTTTTGATGAAAATGTTCATAGAACTAATTTTTACGAAAATATTCGTAGAATAATTTTTGACAATAATTTTAATAGAACATTTTTTGATGAAAATTTTCATAGAAAACTATTTGCTGAAAATTTTCATAGAAAAAAGTTTGATGAAAATATTTATAGAACAATTTTGAGGAAATTTTAATAGATAAATATTTAAAGAAATTTTTCATAGAAAAAGTTTTGATGAAAACTTTTATAGAAAAAATGTTGATCAAAATTTTTCTTAAAACATTTTTGATGAAAATTTTCATAGAATAATTTTTTACGAACATTTTCATGTACTTTTGATAAACATTTTCATAGATTGAATTCATTTTTAATAAAACAAATCAATTTCTTATGGAAAACTATTGATGAAAATGTTCATAGAAAAACTTTTGATGAAAATTTTTATAGAAAATTTTTTGATAAACAGTTTTAATAAAATTTCATAGAAAACACTTGATAAAAATGTTCGGTGGCGTGTCATAATGCCCATAGACCTTATGACCATGGACATTTTGACACTTTTAAAACGTGGACATTATGACACTATACATTATGACACGCTACCTAACGTTCTTAGAATAACTTTGATGAAAGATAACATAGAAACACTTTTTATGAAGTTTTCCTTAGAACAACTTAAAGAAAGTGAAAATTAACACATTAGATACATTAAAAAGTTTTATTTACCGTTTTTATTATATACATTTCATCTAAATCTTAAATACTCATCATGATAAATCCTCATATTCTTAATCAAAATATTATCATTCATAAATATGCTCTCCGATATTTCACGATCGAAAGGAAAACCGGGTGGCATATCATCAAAAGCCAATATACCACTAGAGAAATCACAATCTAAATTGAAACCTTTATGGAAACGATAATTGTAAGATGTGACTACAAAAACAAATTTAACGGGTAAACCTTTCACCTCCAAGCCCTTGGGTAATTTCAAGTGATGGGGAAATCTACAATTACCCAAAGTTATATTAAAAGGAAATTGATATTCCTCATTCAAAGCCAATTGGGTGAAATGATATAATTCGGTATAGGTGAGAGAGGGTAGCATATAACCATAGAAATCTTTAGATTCACGTTCAATGATATTAAATCCGGCAGCTAAAGTACTGACAAATGTATCCAATTGAAACAATTCTGTTGAAGATGAGCAAGTCATTCCTGCTGCTTGACAATCACGAGCCAAAAATGTTCTCACTAATACCGATTGGGGCTTATCCGATGTAAGATAAAGTTGCAATTTGAAAGGTTGATGTTGTAGACTAGGTTGTCGGGCGAGCAGAGTTTTAAACCATAATAATTTGCCCTCAAAATAACTATTTGAGGTTCTCAATAGATTAGTTACATCTGTATCAACAATTTCAAAATAAGTTTTTAATTCGGTGATTTCCACCCCATTAAGGCTTACTCCTAAGCTTTGGACATCTTGTGGTTTATAAGGTTCAAAGTTGGACTTAAGGGATTTATAAAGATTGATAATTATTTCTGCATATTGATAAAATTCCTTAGATCTCAACATGGTTTCATAGTATTGCAACACAGTGGGTTTATTTTCGTTAACAGGGAGAGACATTAAAGCTTTCATTATTTTCTCTATGCTAAAATTGTCATTGAGAAAATATTCCAAATGTTGGGGATTATTTAATTGCAATCTGGTGGCATTTTTTAATTCAAAAGTTTGTTCATATAAAGCTTTTTCAGTTTTACTAAATAAATCATTTATAAAATTCCAAATTTCAAGAGAATTTTTGTTGTTTATGGTTTGATATTTGAGAGTTTGAAAATTAAGTAAATAAGGATCTAAAGAGGATTTACTTTGGGTTGTGGTAAGTTCCATTTTATATCTTACTATCAGTTGTTGTAAATTCCAAAACCACCATTCTCTTAAGGACTTGCTGTACAAATCATTTTGTCCACGTTCATTTAACCATAAACCCATATTGGTGTAATACCAATAGGTATTCCAAGCTTTATCCTCTATTAAGTAGGTATTAGATCTTTCAGTTAATTCCTTTACTGAGGCCACTTCTCTGCTAAAATCTACTGGTAACCAGTACAGAGAAACATCTTCTAAAGCCTGCAACCATTTGCTGGAATTACGAAAATTACCATAAATATTTTTGGGTAAGATCATGCGTTCCTTTTCCTGATAGATTTTGTAGAGTAAATTTTGCTTACACCACCATTGACCTATATTGCAGTTGTTATTATTTATTGTTTCATTAAAGTCTGCCAACATTTCCGCCCGACTCCACTGTACATAATTGAAATGTTTTAGTTTATGTATGTACTTATCAGACAAGAAGTGTTGAGGCCAAATTTCATATATTTTGGGTAAGATGAGTCCCTTAAAATCCTCTCTTTTCATAAGAGTTTGAGTTAAAGCATAAACAAACATTTGCGGCTGCACTTGTAAACGGGCCCAGCAGATATTTTGCCTCAAAGTCTCAAAATCTTTAGCATTATATAGAAAGTAATATAAACCTTTTAACTCCTCCAAATGGGTTTTATCTGTTAGATAAAATATATCATTTCGGGGCAGTAAAGTACTGGCATTTGCCTTCATTATAAATTTCTCCATTAAGGTATTAAAATCCTAAAATTTGAGGAGAATTTAAAAGATGAACTTTCAACAGAAATTTTATAAAACTTACCAAATATAGATCTTTATCTAAGACCAAAGTTTTTCCTGCATTTAGCCATTCATCATTTTGCAAAGGTTCCTGCAGTTGATGCACAATCTCAAATAAAAACTTTTGTTTTTCCAAAAAATATTTGTTTACTGTTGGTGTTTATTAGTTAATATTTATTACAATAGCAATAATATATGGATTACTGACCTATATTACCACCCGGTAGTCCCAACATGGGTGTTATACATAACGCGGCCCATATAATGACATTATAGAAATTTGTATTTTGTAACATTTGTTTAATTAAGCTATTGCTTCTTTAAGTTTTAAAATTATACTGTTTTGTTCAATCTCAATTATTAATTAAAAATGCATTTTTGTATTAAACTTATCTTGGTAGAATTTAGGTGCTTGATCTTTCAAAAATTACGTTTTAGATTTATCAGTTTAAAAAGGTGTTTTGCTAAAGAAATCTCTAATCTAATAATATGAGCAGCAATATTTTTCTATAATCTATATAGCATGTTATATTCTTCTCCCAATATGTTAAAGTCAACCGCCTACAAATAGCTTAGACCCCTTAAATCATATAACCTCTAAATTAATTTACGATAATTTTGCTAAAATCGGTGCATAAATCAGTGAGCAGTGACCCATATTTTAACGCCACTTTCGCTTTTCTTTTCAAAACTTTTCAAACATTTAAATTTTAAAACCCCTTTTTATTAAGCTTTTAAATAGTGTTATCTTTCTTTTTTTGTGGCCCCTACAGTCAATATTTGTTGTTATCTTTCAACTTTTTTTCGCTTTTTAAACAAAAAAACTTAAAATTAATTCTTACTTTTTTTATCCACAATTTAATATTCTGCTCATGTAGTCTGAAAAAAAGGTCTTAATTTTTAAGTTTTTTTTGTTTAACTACACACTCTTTTTCATAAAGAACTTATAAACCAAATGACTCATCTTTGAAATTAAAAACGAAAAAAAAAGAAAACTTTACACAGACCTACAAATCAAACCAAGAGCAACAATAACAACAATATTTGCAAGTCAATATCACACATTAAAGATAAATGTTTGTAGTAGATGTTGTTGTTGCTTGTATGTTGATTTTATTTAAAAAGATCAGAGCGATCAGTGATCAGTTTTTACCATTAAAATGTTTTAAAAGATTTTTTCAGGGTCTGTCTGTCGATCTCAATGTGTGTGAGTGTTTTGTCTTTTAATAAGACAATATAGTGGTGGAGGGAACGCGAATAAAAAAACTGGCCCAAGATTTTAGCTCATCTATATCCATGTTTGCATTTTAAGACAACGACGACTACCTGTTGTTATTTTGGTTATTTTCTTTAGCTAAAACTAAGACTTAACTTACTAGGTTAGTTGAAATTTTACACACTGAGAGAAACTTTCGTTGAAAGTATTTTGTTAAAAGTTTAACTTAATATCTAAAGTTTGTCTATATATAGTCATGAATAGTTATAAAATCTTTCACATCGGAGCCTGTAGAATAGTGCTATATCAATCATAACACTCGTTCCATTCAAATTTGCACTGAGTCTAGTCTATAGTCTAGTCTAGTCTAGTCTAGTCTAGTCTATAGTCTAGTCTATAGTCTAGTCTAGTCTAGTATAGTCTAGTCTATAGTCTAGTCTATAGTCTAGTCTATAGTCTAGTCTATAGTCTAGTCTATAGTCTAGTCTATAGTCTAGTCTATAGTCTAGTCTATAGTCTAGTCTATAGTCTAGTCTATAGTCTAGTCTATAGTCTAGTCTATAGTCTAGTCTAGTCTAGTCTAGTCTAGTCTATAGTCTAGTCTATAGTCTAGTCTATAGTCTAGTCTATATTCTAGTCTATAGTCTAGTCTATAGTCTAGTCTATAGTCTAGTCTATAGTCTAGTCTATAGTCTAGTTTATAGTCTAGTTTATAGTCTAGTCTATAGTCTAGTCTATAGTCTAGTCTATAGTCTAGTCTATAGTCTAGTCTATAGTCTAGTCTATATTCTAGTCTATAGTCTAGTCTATAGTCTAGTCTATAGTCTAGTCTATAGTCTAGTCTATAGTCTAGTTTATAGTCTAGTTTATAGTCTAGTCTGTAGTCGAATCTATAGTCTTGTCTATAGTCTATTTTATAGTCTAGTCTATAGTGTAGTATATAGTCTAGACACAATTATGATTCTGAAGTTATTAGTTACTTAAGAGATTATTTCAGAGTCCAAAGATTGATTTTAAACAAAAATGTAAATAATTTTTCTCCAAGTGCACGTGAGGTGCATGTTTAAAAAAAATCAGTTTTCTTTGCCTCCATACAAGCTCATACTTCGAAAGGTTTTCTTGGGGATGACTCATGCAGCAACATGTTTGCTTTTTTACGTTTTTGGGTCTTTGGGATGTGATGTTGTTGTTTATTGGAATTGGCTGGAGCCAGTTAGAAAATATAGAGAACTCTATAAAGGTTTTTTTTACAATTCGCAACCATTTAAAGCTAAAAAAACAACAATTAAATACAAACAGAAAAGCAGAAATAACGTGTGAAGCAGGTACAACAAGTAACTTTTCAAGATCATATAAAAACTACAACAAAACCTAGACATTTTGGTTATTCAAATAGAGGGTCAGTCAATTTAGCCGCCTGCCTATACTACCTACCGAAATGAGTCATAATTTTAAAGCTTTTTTTTCTCTTTCGACATATTAATTTTTTTGTCTTATTTACCTCAATCAGCAAATAAATGTACGTTAAGCTACAAATAATACAAAAAACAGACAGAAATAAAAGTAGTTGTTAACAATTTGAAACTAATAAATGAATAATGATTAATTTGAGCAGCAGCATTAACAGCAGCAACAACAACAACAAAAAATGGTGTTAAAAATGGCTGGCTCTACTAGCAAGATCATGACAACCGTTGCAAGCTCATGATGGTTATGATGATGACTAAGTGTATAAAATGTTTTTAAATAGGTTTTAAATAATTAAATTCATACGCCTCTATTTAATCCCCTAATTTTTGACAAAAATTAAATTGAATAAATAAAGATTTTCGTCTTCTTTTTTGTTTGTTTGTTTGTTTGCTGTTTAAGACAAAAACGTGACAAAGTGTTTTTTTGTTGTGTTCAAAAATAGCATCCATCCATTTATTGCAAAGTAAAAAAATGGGTGCGTAATTTTGTGTTAATAATTTTTTTTGTCTAATCATTGAGGGTCTCCTCATATGTTAAATGATCATATTTAACTCGTTTGTTTTACTACGCGACTCCGTTGTAGTTCTTGCAATTCTGCACATGCGCAGACAGTTAATGTGTTTTATGCAAACGAAGTGTCAACTTATGAATACAAAATTCTTGATATGTATGGATTTGTATTGCGTTTTTTTTTTCTTCTTCTTCTATATATTATTCCCTGTATGGTATTATATTTATTATAGAGAATTTAAAGGGAGTTAAAAGGTAAAGTTGAAAAGTTACAACGACTTATTTTGAGCGCTACTTTAAAACATTTTATTACACGTTTGCTTCAACATTGACCTAGTCTTATTAGAATCTATAAAACTTAGTTTAAACAATTTTGTAAATTTTCCATTGGAATCAAAATTATTACCCTGGACCTTGACGCTTAGAAAGCCAGGAAAATCAATTTTTCCCAAATTTGTTACTGAAATATTTAATAAAACTTTAGGTTGTTTTTAAATCCCTTAAATGTACATTTAAATATTTAATACTAAAAAATATGACCTTTGACCTCAAAAGTTTAAAAAGTCTAGCAATCATTTTATGATTTTGATCTCGATTATGCAGAAATATTTAACTCGATATAGAAACTTGTATATATTTAAAAGTATGACCTTTGACCTTAAAAGCTCGATTATAATGAAAGATTTATTTTTCCAATTTGGCAGAAACTCGTGATTGTTTTAAAGAATGATTTTTGACCTTAAAAGTTCGATTATGATGAAAAATTTAAGTTTTTCCAAACCTGCAGAAACTCGTAAATATTTAAGGTTAAAGACCTTAAAAGCTCGATTATGATGATAAATTTAAGTTTTTCTAAACCTGCAGAAACTCGTGAATATTTAAAAATATGACCTTTGACCTTAAAAGCTAAAAAGCCTTTCAAATCATATTTTTGTGAGTTTAAGTATTTCACAATCTTGTTAAAGCTATTTTTAATCAAAATTAATATAGAAACTCGTGAATATTTAAAAGTATGACCTTTGACCTTAAAAGTTCGATTATGAATAAAAATTTAAATTTTTCCAAACCTGTAGAAACTCGTGAACATTTAAATCTATGACCTTTGACCTTAAAAGCTAAAAAGCCTTTCAAATCATATTTTTGTGAGTTTAAGTATTTTATAGTCTTATTAAAGTTATTTTTAATCAAAATGAATATTTTTGCCAAATTTATAAAATTTTCGTTGAAAATTGTGATTATTTAAAAGTATAACCTTTGACCCCAAAAGTCAAAAAGGACAGAAATCATCTATTAATTTTATAAATTTCAATTTTGGTGTCAATTACAAAAAAAAAATAAAATTTATGTAAATCACCTATATTTCTGTTAAAGATCGTGCGTATTTTAAAATATGACCTTTGACCTCAACATTTAAAACAAGTGTAGCAAATAAAATTATGGAGGATTTTGGTATTTTATAATATTTTAAAGAAGAAAAGAGGTCTTTAATATGACTATAGAGCAATTGTGATCTAACCACAAGTTCTTCTAAATCCTCCTAAAATGTCACCAACCTTTGTAGAAAATTTAAATATTTAAAAAAAATCCAAAATGTAAAAAACGTTATAAAGGAAATAAACCACCATGATTGCAAAAAAAAATCAAGTTTCGTAAAAAAAAACTAGTAAATGAGTTTTTGAAAAGAAAATCTACATAATCATGGCATCACGATCAATAATAATAAAAAATATAGTTGCAGCAGCAAAAAAAACTCACGTGCTTAATTTAAAAGATCTAACAAACTCTATACAACACGAACAGCGACGTTTTTTTATTCAAATAATAAAAAATACATTGACACTCAGCAAGGCTTTCTAATATTCAAACCCTCAGGGGTTAGACTACTTCTTGCCTGCTGTTTGTTAGTTCTAAATTTAAGATTGTCATTTCTACACTTGGAATTTTTTTTTGGTAGTTTATTTTCTATTCTATTTAAATCAACATTTGGATTATCATACATTTTGCAATCAAAAACTCATAAATCGTTTTCTTTTCTTTAGTTTAATTTCAAAACATCAGTTTTCTTTTTTCGATCTATAACGTGTGTTTGTTTATGGGTAAGCATGCTTAGTGTCATATTGTTAGTCTTCTCCTTCGTATCTACTGTGTTTGA